TTGCTGGGGGGGAAGCTTCAAATTTATCTAGACGTCTGTCAGGTGAAGGTCATTTAGATATCAAAAAAAACACAATCAAAAAACTACGATCACCGACCTCGCTCAAAATGATTGAAAAACCACCTGTGCAGTGAGCCTCTGTTTGGGAAAGCTTGAAATTTATCTAAACCTCTGCCAAGTCTAGGTCAAAAAGATCCTGAAGAAAATGACCAGCAAAAAAACACGCTCACAAACCTTGCTCAAAATGTTATTTTAAAAATTACCTGTACAATGATCCAGTGTTTTACAGAAGCTTGAGATTTGTTTGAACCTCCTGTCAAGTCAACATCCTGTAGATACCACAAAACATTAAGCAAATACACTAGCATCACAGAGCTTGCTCAAAATCGCATCAGTGTCTTAAACTTTTGCGTGCACCTTGTGGAAAAGTATTCCAGCCATGGTCCGACGTCTGGAATAATTATTGGAAATCATGTCAAAGGGGTCTGGATTCCATACTCTAGACTCTGGAATAACAAAATATTCCAGGGTATAGTGACGGGGGAGCTAAGGCACAGGCCATGCTGGAGGCCATCGCTAACAGGTCGGATGCCATTGCTTTTAGGTTCAATGCCATTCCGGAGGCCATTGCTTTTTGGCTCGAGGCCATCGCTCTCAGGTTGGGGGCCATTGCTACTAGGTTGGAGGCCATCGCTATTAGGTTTGAGGCCATTGCTATTAGTTTGGAGGCCATGGCTATTAGGCTGCTGGCCATGGCGATTGCTATCTATCAATGTAAAGTCACGATTAATAAACCTTCCCTAATTTATCCGAGCGCACCAAGCTGCAGAAAAGTTGCCAAATTAAAAGTAGTACTGGTTGCTTAATTTCCACGTGAATCACGTAGTTGGTCAATAGAAGCCCCTGTAGTTAATCCGAGCCCACAACCAGGCCAGTTTTCTGACGACGACGACGACTACTACGACTACCACTACTGACTATCTAAGGAAATTCCAAAAAAATGTCTAGGAGTCAGGGCCTGTAATTTGCTTTAAAAAGAATAGCAACAATCATTTGAGAAGCTCACAAGGGGTACCCCTCACAAGGGCCGGTACCTCCTCAAATATCTGCACGACTATCCCCTGTTAATTTGATCCGGTGTCCCTGGCCTGTTTGTGTTTGTTTAAGCTTATTATTACGACTACCACTACCTATACTACTACTGCTGCTGCTCCTCCTCCTTTTGGTACGATTACTACTACTATTGCTAACACTACCACCACCACCACCACGACGACCACCACGACTTCAACAACTACAACAACAACTACTACTACTACTACTACTACAACTACAACTACAACCACTACTTTGTCTTCTTCTTCATGGTCCAATGGTCTCATAGTCGATTATTCAGGGGAGGAGGACCTTATGAGTGGTCATATCTTCTTGGCCTTGTTGATCTATGGAGCGGGTTTGTTAATCAGGTCTTTACATCGGAGGCCATTGCTACTATAGGTTGGCCATCACGAGTAGTTTTGGAAGCTATTGCTTTTAGGTTGAAGGCCATTCACTCTGTCCTCGTGGATTCGGTCGGAGGATTTGTCGCTGCTCAGCAACTTGGATTCCAGTGAAACCAGGACGAGACCGACCGTCAATCGCCGCACGGACGTCGCATGTTGCGGACGTATGTCTTTCGTTTGTTCGTTTTTGTTTGTTTCAAATCCCTGACTGAAGTGAAGGGTTGGAAGACATGGACTGAGCCCCGGTTTTTCCCAGGACTGAGCTGAGCCCCAAAGCCAAGCGACCGCGGGTCCAGGATGGAGATGTGACATCCAAGCTCAGTTTGAAACAGTTTCGTTTGGAATGTCTGTGCGGCTTTAGTTGAAAACACCTGCGATGATGCTTCACGCCCACTTCCAGAGGAGAGCAAGGTGAATCACGGTGGGCGACGCAGTTTCATGAAGTTTCCGCCATTGTTTTATGTGCACATTGTGTGTACAAGCATGTGTACATTACATATATTGCACGCACACACACATATATATATATATATTTGTATATCATGAATCATAAATGCTTCGTTGCCATTTTTTTGCACTAAGGCCCTCGCACCACCGCGGCCTCCTTTACCTATTTGGCCCGGGTCCTTTCGTTGTGCGACGATGGCAGCGATCGCGATGGGTGCGACGAGGGGTGGACTGTCCAATCGTCGCCCAGGCGGATCGTCCATTCGACCCGCTCCGCTTTGAAGAATGGATCGAGGCGTCGTTCCACGTTGTTTCCACACGGCCAGACGGAGCGATTGGAGAGCGGCGGATCTGAAGGATGTCATGAAATGGATATGGTATGAAGTGGGCACGAACGGAGCAAGGACGTGCCTCCAACGGAGCATTTCGGGCGTCGCGACTCGGAGCGGCGCGCCTGCAGCTTCGTCCTTGAAGGCCGGGGGGCCGCCCAAGAGCATTTGCCGTGCCAAGGGGCTTTTATGGACGCACTGCACTTAAGACAAGACACTCAAGCTGTCAGCATCATTCAGTTGGAGCGATGCACTGATGACCAGTTGCACAAGTGAGCCCTCGTGTCCTTTCTGAGGCAAGATATTCCACGTCACGTAATCTTCCAACTTTCTGGCTGCAGGACATGTGCAGTGCGACAGTTGCTATCCCTACAAACGAAAATGGTTGATGTTTTTTTGAGTTTCTTGTAGGTGACCAGTGAACACACGGCGAATTGTTTTCGACCAACTCTGCAGACTCTGCAGGACAAATCCTTTCGAAACGGTGTCTGGCGGTGGGTCTGGAACCAAAGCAAGCTGGATCATGGCTCCTCACTGCTTTGGAACGCAGCAACGTCCCCAGGCCGCCGACCGGCTCGCGTTTGGTGTTCATCGGTGTGGAGGGCTTAGTTGTCACAATGGCAATTTTCTCCAACCTACTAGCGATGGCCTTCAACCTAATAGCAATGGCCTTCAACCGAGAAGCAATGGCCTCCAGACTACTAGCGATGGTCTTCAACCTAGAAGCAATGGCCTCCACACTACTAGCGATAGCCTCCAACCTAATAGCAATGGCCTCCAACCTAGAAGCAATGGCCTCCAACCTACTA